GGTTGTTTCCGTGTGTGTGTTTTTTTGTGTTTGGGGGGGGGGGGGGTGTGTGGGTGTGTGTGTGTGTGTGTGTGTGTGTGGGTGCGTTTGCGTGTGGGTGTGTGGGTGTGTGTGTGTGTGTGTGTGGCTTAAGGTGTTGTGGTTAAGTTGTGTTGTTTGTGTTGTTTGTGCACACAAAGCAGCAAGAACACCACAAACGAACAAACGAACAAATACAGCACACACAGCACACACACACACGCGCGCGCACACACACACAACAAAAATCGCACGTTGACGGTGGTGACGGAGAACGGGGCAGCAATGTCGAGGATGAAGACAGTGGAGTCGAAGTTGTCGTCGCCGCACTTGCCACCAAACACAAGCAGGCGGTCATTGTGCAGAACCATCGAGTGCCCACGGAACCCAGATGCCACAGCTGATGTGGCGTGACGTGTCGTGATGGGTGGTGGATTTGTTGGATGATGGATGTGACGGGTTGCGGGAGAGGAAGTGATGGGGATTGTGGGAAGGAGGGTGACAAGATGGGCACCGTGAGCAGGGCATTTGAATTGTTGACAGGGAACAATGCTAGCAAGCGCTGCTTTTGTTGTGTTGTTCCCTTGCTGCAGGACAAGGTGGGGCACAATCGAGAAAGCAAAAAAGACAACACCCATTGCAGAGCACCAACGACATGAGCTGCATCCGTCCAATCACCTGACTCGCTCGCAAAGTCATTCACAAACGTCCACTGCTCCGTGTTTGCATCGAACCGCCACAAGTCCGCCAGACACGACTGCATGTGATGGTGATGGTGATGGTGATGGTGATGGTGATGGTGATGGTGATGGTGATGGTGATGGTGATGGTGATAGTGATGGTGATAGTGATGGTGATGGTGATGGTGATGGTGATGGTGAAAGTGATGAAGGATGACTTGGTTGAAGGTGAGACGAGAAAGGAGCAGACATGGAGAAACAGCGCCGACGAACAAGAGCGACACAATCACAACACAATGAAGCACACACACGCACATACATTCACACACACACACACAAAATAACAGCAGTCACACACGCAAGCCTGCACGCATGCGCGCGCACATTCGCAGTAAACAGCACAGTTGCAAACTCACGGTTGCCGCCGCGCCGCCAAAGATGAGAAAGTTGAAGTTGTCGAGGGGCGCTACCGTATGCTCCACGCGCGCACGGGGACGCATTCCAGACTGCTGCTGCAGGTGCTCCCAGCGATCGGGCGGCGTAAACTGCAAATCGCACGTGAACACATACACACATGCACACGTGCAGTGGTGGCAAGGATTGTGACGGTGGTCTTGAGACATCGTCGGTTGCTTGCAGGCACAAACACGCACAAGCGCACGAACTCACTCACGCACAAGCGCACGTACGCAAGTTCCCCCTCCCCCCTTCACACACACACACACACACACACACACACACACACACACACACACACACACACACATATGAGCACGCGCCGCACCTTCCAGAGGTCTGAGAGGAGGATGCCACTGAAACCGGCAAACACATAGACAACGCCCCCTGGTCCCCTCATGGTGGCAGCGCCGGTGCGGGCGACGGGCTGAAGGCGCGCAACGTCCGCCTGCCATCGCAGGATGGTCGATGTGCCACGAAAGTCACTGCAGAGTCGAGACAGGGGGGGGGGACAGTGGCAGGCGCATGTGGGACGAGACAATGTGGGATGAGAGAATGTGGCAGCGAGCGTGAGAGAGGGAGAGTGAGTGAGAGAGAGAGAAGAGAGAGAGAGAGAGAGAGAAGAGAGAGAGAGAGAGAGAGAGAAAGTGTGTGTGTGTGTGTATGTGTGTGTGGCAAGGAATGTGCTTGCAAGTGACAGCAGGACGCATAAATATGACATGCACAACCAGAAACACGCACACAATAACCACCACACCCTCCTCCAGTCTCCACTGCAGCCTGCACCTGATGGGACGGGCTGTCCACAGTCGCATTTCATCACCAGAGCGCAACTCAAACAGGTGGCCTGGAGCAGAGAGCACACGCGCGCATTTGAATGTGAATGTGAATGTGAATGTGAATGTGAATGCGAGCACATGCACGAGCATGAGCGTGGAACAGTTAGTCAATGCTGTACTGCCTGCGGAGGCATAAAGATACGAGTGTATACACACTCCTACACACGCTCCTACACACACTCCTACACACACTCCAACACACACACAAAGGAAACAAAACAGCAACTAGATACACACACTCTCGTACGCACCGAAGATGAATGAGATGCCCTGGACTGTTGAGACGGAGAATCCGCCACTCGGGCGATCGTCATCAAGAAGAAGCGCAGGCAGCGCCACGTCATCCACAGCAGGGCTCACGGCTGTCGTGTCAAATTGCCTGCAGGCAATTCGGCAGGCCGTACACGTTGCAGTGGGCGAGCGAGTGTGAGGTGGCAGTGCACAATGTTTGTGTCATGTTCACGAGAATAGAAATACTGTCATGTATGTATCATGTTCGTGTGCACACAAGCTCCAGCAGCAAGCAGCCTCAGTACAGTGCGTGCATACATGAGCCATCCTATTGTCTCACCCCTTCCTGTGCCCCCCCCCCTCTCTCTCTCTCCCTCTCTCGTCTTTACATCATCCCTCACCCCTCCCCACCCCCTGCTTCTCCCAACCCACACAACTTCTGCGAGCCCTACCCTGTTGGGATGTCGTAAATGAAGGATGAAATGGAGGACCGTGGTTCCGTCAGACCAAACAGGCCCAGCAGCACCAACTGCGTGGACGACAGCGGTACGAGCGCCCCGCGATTGCGCAACACAAAGTCCTGCAGGCACGTGGTGGGTAAAAAGAAGAAGGGGGTAGTTTGAATGCACATGAGCGTGCTTGCTGACAGCGAGGGTGAATACGGGAGAGTGTGGTCAGTTTCATTGCACATGTGTGTGTGTGTGTGCGTGCGTGTGTGAGGCACGGTAACGAGCGCGGTGTGGTCATCGCTAACATCACCGCTTCCCCAATCACCGACATCGGTTTGGTTGGAGGCGAGGAGCAGGGTCACGTTGGCGGTTGCTGTGAAGAGGGTGCATATTGGGTACACAGCATGAGTTGAATGACAAAACAAGAAAACGACCTCTTGACAAAGCAAGGCGCGCGCGTACGCACACACACACACACACACAAACACACACAAACATACACACACACGCACACACACACACACTCGCACACTCAGTGACTTACTCTGGTTGGTGTCGAAATCAAAGCGCCACATGTCTGAGATGGAGCCGATGTCGCTGTCAATGGAGCGGCTAAATGCGTCCACGGGATTGTAAAATGGAATGGACAAGGAGGCGTTGCCCGGCGAAATGCCTCCAAACAGATACATCTGATGCATGCAAGCAAGGCGGTGAGCAT